GAAATTGTAGCTCCAAAACCGGATCTCGACGCCAGAGCGAAAAAAAAAGACGATTTTGAAGCACTTTTTAAAAGGATTTTTAGAAGGAAAATCACTAGCGCCAAAATGGAGAAAATCTGCGGACAAATCACTGTCGCAGCCTTCATGCAGCCACTCCAATACGATTTACGAAGTCCAGCTGCAAAAGACAATAGTATTACGCATGCAGCCACAGCATGAAGCAACCTTGACACAGCCATTACAATGCGATCTGCGGAGACTGAGTTGCAAAACACAAAAGAACTACGCGCAACGGCGTCGGAAATTGTATCTCCAAAACCGGATCTCGACGCCAGAGCGAAAAAAAGACGATTTTGAAGCACTTTTTAAACGGATTTTTAGAAGGAAAATCACTAGCGCCAAAAACGCATTTCGTGCGAGACTTCCTTCAAAACTCCTTGACGCAGCCATTCCAATGCGATCTGCGGAGACTGAGTTGCAAAACACAAGAGAACTACGCGCAACGGCGTCGGAAATTGTAGCTCCAAAACCGGATCTCGACGCCAGAGCGGAAAAAAGACGATTTTGAAGCACTTTTTAAAAGGATTTTTAGAAGGAAAATCACTAGCGCCAAAATGGAGAAAATCTGCTGACAAATCACTGTCGCAGCCTTCATGCAGCCACTCCAATACGATTTACGAAGTCCAGCTGCAAAAGACAATAGTATTACGCATGCAGCCAAAGCATGAAGCAACCTTGACGCAGCCATTACAATGCGATCTGCGGAGACTGAGTTGCAAAACACAATAGAACTACGCGCAACGGCGTCGGAAATTGTAGCTCCAAAACCGGATGGATCTCGACGCCAGAGCGAAAAAAAGACGATTTTGAAGCACTTTTTAAAAGGATTTTTAGAAGGAAAATCACTAGCACCAAAATGGAGAAAATCTGCTGACAAATCACTTCCGCCGCAGAGGTAGATCATCGAGGTTCGGGGACGGACTTTGTATGGAAAAACATAGGCTTTCGTGCATCTGCTATCTCTCAAAGACGCATTTCGTGCGAGACTTCCTCCAAAACTCTATCGGCAACTCATCCACCAGCACCACTTGCAACCCCATTTACAATGCGGGAACGATCCTACAGTTGCAAATCACAATGGAATTCTGTCGACCACACATGCACGAAAAACAGTTGAAACCCCATTTTCAATGCGGAACCGATCCGAGCATGATCCGAGACCGATCCGAACATGATCCGACCACACACGAGACCGTCTCGCACCCGTCGCACAGCAGAGGTAGATCATCGAGGTTCGTAGACACACTTTGTATGGAAAAACATAGGGTTTCGTGCATCTGCTATCTCTCAAAAACGCATTTCGTGCGAGACTTCCTTCAAAACGCAACTCATCCACCAGCACCACTTGCAATCCCATTTACAGTGAGGGAACGATCCTAGAGTTGCAAATCACAATGGAATTCCATCAGCAACTCATCCCCCAGCACCACTTGCAACCCCATTTACAATGCGGGAACGATCCTACAGTTGCAAATCACAATGGAATTCTGTCGACCGCACATGCACGAAAAACAGTTGAAACCCCATTTACAATGCGGAACCGATCCGACCATGGTCCGAACATGATCCGAGAATGATCCGACCACACACGAGACCGTCTCGCAACCGCCGCACCGCAGAGGTAGATCATCGAGGTTCGGGGACGGACTTTGTATGGAAAAACATAGGGTTTCGTGCATCTGCTATCTCTCAAAAACGCATTTCGTGCGAGACTTCCTCCAAAACTCCATCGGCCACTCCTCCACCAGCACCACTTGCAATCCCATTTACAGTGAGGGAACAATTTCTTTGCTAACTCTTTCTGTGACTAACTCTTTCCCTCACTAACTCTTTCTTTGACTAACTCTTTCCCTGACTAACTCTTTCTTTGACTAACTCTTTCCCTGACTAACTGTTTCTTTGCTAACTCTTTCTTTGACTAATTCTTTCCCTCACTAACTCTTTCTTTGACTAACTCTTTCCCTGACTAACTGTTTCTTTGCTAACTCTTTCTTTGACTAACTCTTTCCCTCACTAACTGTTTCTTTGCTAACTCTTTCTTTGACTAACTCTTTCCCTCACTATCTCTTTCTTTGACTAACTCTTTCCCTCACTATCTCTTTCTTTGACTAACTCTTTCCCTGACTAACTGTTTCTTTGCTAACTCTTTCTTTGACTAACTCGTTCCCTGACTAACTGTTTCTTTGCTAACTCTTTCTTTGACTAACTCTTTCCCTCACTATCTCTTTCTTTGACTAACTCTTTCCCTGACTAACTCTTTCTTTGACTAACTCTTTCTTTGACTAACTCTTTCCCTCACTAACTCTTTCTTTGACTAACTCTTTCCCTGACAAACTGTTTCTTTGACTAACTCTTTCTTTGACTAACTCTTTCCCTCACTAACTGTTTCTTTGCTAACTCTTTCTTTGACTAACTCTTTCCCTCACTATCTCTTTCTTATGTTAACTCTTTCCCTCACTAACTCTTTCCCTGACTAACTCTTTCCCTCACTAACTCTTTCTTTGACTAACTCTTTCCCTGACTAACTCTTTCTTTGACTAACTCTTTCTTTGACTAACTTTTTCCCTGACTAACTGTTTCTTTGACTAACTCTTTCCCTGACTAACTCTTTCTTTGACTAACTCTTTCTTTGACTAACTCTTTCCCTGACTAACTGTTTCTTTGCTAACTCTTTCTTTGACTAACTCTTTCCCTCACTAACTCTTTCTTTGACGAACTCTTTCTTTGACTAACTCTTTCCCTGACGAACTCTTTCTTTGCTAACTCTTTCCCTCACTAACTCTTTCTTTGACTAACTCTTTCCCTCACTAACTCTTTCTTTGACTAACTCTTTCCCTCACTAACTCTTTCTTTGACTAACTCTTTCTTTAACTAACTCTTTCCCTCACTAACTCTTTCTTTGACTAACTCTTTCCCTCACTAACTCTTTCTTTGACTAACTCTTTCCCTGACTAACTGTTTCCCTCACTAACTCTTTCTTTGACTAACTCTTTCCCTGACTAACTGTTTCCCTCACTAACTCTTTCTTTGACTAACTCTTCTTTGACTAACTCTTTCTTTGACTAACTCTTTCCCTCACTAACTCTTTCTTTGACTAACTCTTTCCCTGACTACCTGTTTCTTTGACTAACTCTTTCTTTGACTAACTCTTTCCCTGACGAACTCTTTCTTTGCTAACTCTTTCCCTGACATTCTAAAAGTCCGTAACACGGAAGTTTCTCCCCCTAAACTTCCTTTGATTACTCAAATTTGTTTGCTGTCGTTTTGCTTTTGGGTTCTCAGGCCCCCCCTTGTTTTTTGATGAAAGAAACGACTTGAAAGGGGTTGGTCAGTTGATCAGTTTGAGCCCAGACTCAGTGACTCAGTTGGGTTGAAAGAATGTCAGGTCAAGTCAGAAAAGAATCCCAGTGTAAGTGAGAAAAATTGCACCTCATTTACAGTATATCGCTGATATATCAACCCGATAATAAGCCTACTTAACGTGGTACAAAAGCTCCAGGTGGTAAAATTCAGCATCGTTCCGTATGGGTCCCCCCAAACAAGAGGTGTTCACCAAATGATGAGGTTTCAAGTGGGGTGATGCAAGCGTACCAAGCGTACCTGGGGGGTTGCATCACGGGCATGGGAAGTGGACAAGAAACATAATAATATCATATTATACCCCAGGTATATATATATATATGGGTATATATATATATATGGGTGTATATATACATATATATTATAAATATATATATATATATACATATATGTATATGTATATACATATATGTATATGTGTATGTATATATATATATATATATGTATATAATATTAATATATATATAATATGGGAGTAATGTGTGCAATAAGGGTCCACATCTAAGGTCTTCCCCCAGCCTTGTTGGTGCTTCCTCAGCACTTCTCGGACCTCTCGTTCTACACGCAGCTCTTCACTGCAGATCTCCCGAAATGCGAAGACCGAGTTGATGGAATAGTCCTGTGATGGAAACAGCAAGGACTTAACCAGCAAAACATGGTGAGTTAATTGAGTTATAATAAGTAAAAATTGGGATTTGTACCCATCAACATCCAAGAAAGTTGGAAAAAGTTGGATTTCCACCTAGGACAGTCTGCATCTATCCCTCAATTAGTTTTCTGTCTTTTAACCAGCTAAAATTTGGATGTTACCAATGATATTATATTGGGGTTGTTCAAAATTATGGTTCCTCAAAAAACTGCCCTTTCGCTGCCCTTTCGCGCCCTATGGCGTCCCAGCAAAATCGGGACAGGGAAGTGTTATCATGTTTTCGTGTGCATATTTCGCACTAGAGGTTTACATGAGGATTGCATTGGAAACAATACTTTTAATTCCAACGAGGAAGTGGAAGCATTCGCCTAAGTCGTTTTACAGATTGCCCGACAACGGAAACACAAGTTGCTTAGACTTTGGAGGGTGTTTGCAGTGGCAACATTGCAAGACAAACTAGACCATTTTGGGCCAAGGTGGGATCCTTGCAGACTCGCCTTTCGCCAACCTTCCGCGAACCTTTCGCGGATTTCTCGCCTACCAAAATGATTTTGATCTCATGTTTCATGAGAGGATGGGCGGGTGTTTCAGTTCCAATACTAAAACCCATTCCTATCTGAGAAAAACTCCCAAAATTCTTGTTCAATGGTTGTATGAATGCAACTCTAACTGCCAAGCATGAATACTATATTACTATATCACATAGATCTAGTCATATAATGTCATATAGGTGTATTTAGACCTTTCGCGAACCTCTCGCCGCCCAGAAAAGGGCGAATTTCATTGAGATTTGACTGGCCAGGCTCCCCTCGATGAAATACTGTTTAGTTGATACCTTATCCATCCTTATCCCTATTAGTGTAACCCTACAACAAAAAATAAACAACCAACAGTGGTATTTTTCGCTGAAAGGGATCCATCTTCAAAAATACTCAGTATAAATACCACGGTCCTGACAGAGCTCCTCAAAGCATTGCTTGGTGCTCAACTGCGACCTCACATTCAGCACATGTCCTTTCTCCCGCAGCCTTTCTGCCAGGTCTTGTACCGCCTCAATCTGGAAGCGATTTCGGATCGCGCCCGTTTTGGGAAAGCCGCAGAGCCGCGTTCTTCCCGCGTGCCAGAAGGGGTCGAAGACGTAGACATGGAGCACGGGGAGAGGGCCTTGATGGGCTGCTTTCAAAGCTGCATGATCATGGCATCGCAGATCTGTGCATTTGAACCACACCACATTCACTCGTTCCTTGCCCGGCATCAGGGCTAAACTCGAACCAATGGCATCCCGGCATTCAGTCGAAGACCTGATGCTCATGAGAAAAACACTGGCTGATGATTGGAACAAAAAGTAAAAAAATGGAAAAAAAATCACTTTGGATATCCGAAACCTTCGGAACTGCATTCAACTGAACACAATAATTAACCCATGGCTGCGGCAATGAAGCTCAGTCCGTGCACCCAAAATAGACGGTTAAATCTCTCCATGCGGGCCCCCCGAATGAATAGGTCGGTTGCTAAACCAGGGATCAATATAGGGTGGCACGTATTAGCGAACAGGAAAAAAATGATTACTCACCTCCAGAGGCCGCATTGTACCCGAAAAACCCTTACAGCACAGCATCAAGATGATCAAGATTCCGCACCAGGACGCGTCCATCATGCAGACGTTCTGATACAAAGAGATGCCTTAGACAGTCGGGTCATGATGATCAACTCCAGGGCCTTGAAGGACCCAGGAAACTCACCGACAGATGACATCAGTCTGACCAAGGCTGTGAGCCCTTTGTTGGTCTTCCAAAGCACAAAGACATGATCCTCAGCCGAAGTCGGAGGATGAAACTCTGGGGAAATCGGGAGATTGTATATCGGGATTTGCCCAACGATATCGTTATTTTTTATGTATTTTTTGGGTTATATAATTAATAACGGTAATGTAGTGGCTATATGATGGATATATAATGGTTATATCATCTAATTAAAAAAATTGGAGCATCTTATCTTGTCTTATATCGCCGAACACAGCTGGGACCATCTGCAGAATTTTCACCGACTTTTCTCCAAGACCCGCTCCGAAAAGGACCGCATGATATGGCTTATGGTGATGGATCAGTGATAAATATAAGGATGGGTCAATACCTATTATGCCATATTTGGGGGGGATAAACATTAACCGAAGAAAGTTTAGAAGTCAAACTTCCGACAATATGGACAGATGGAAAAGCAGAGGTGGTGAGGTGGTAAGAGTCAGAGAAGAGGGGATGGACGGTTGCCAGAGTTCATCAAGGTGTGTTTTTGGTAATGAAGGGAGTGAGTTTCTGGTAGTCCATGACTGCAAAGCCGAGCGAAGGGATGTATATATTTCCTTGGCGGGTGGGAAGATTTTGTTCTGAAGTGAACCCGTAGCAATGGATGTAGAGGGTGCATCGGCGAAGCGTAGGCTGTTTCCATCGAGAACCAGGTGTTGATCAGGTTGATGAGAAGAGGTTGCATGTTGTCGGAGGGCCAAGCAGGCACATTTTGGGTTCTCGCCGTCAGCCCATTTTGTAGCTGCTTCTTTGTGGTTGCATAAACTGTCCATGACCGAGGAGAACTTTGTAAATACAATACCAGTGGATGGAGAAGAGAAGAGAAGAGAAGAGAAGAGAAGAGAAGAGAAGAGAAGAGAAGAGAAGAGAAGAGAAGAGAAGAGAAGAGAAGAGAAGAGAAGAGAAGAGAAGAGAAGGGAAGGGAAGGGAAGGGAAGGGAAGGGAAGGGAAGGGAAGGGAAGGGAAGGGAAGGGAAGGGAAGGGAAGAGCAGGGAAGAGCAGGGAAGAGCAGGGAAGAGGAGAGGAGAGGAGAGAAGAGAAGAGAAGAGAAAGAGTCAGAAGAAATAGACAGAAGAAAGAGTCAGAAGAAAGACACAGAAGAAAGAGTCAGAAGAAAGAAGATCCAGGCGCGCGAAAAGGTAAAGTCGCGACTCACTCTGTTTTTTCAATGATTTGTGGCTCCGGAGGGTCGAAAAGTAGGCTTGCTAAAGCGGCGGGTGCGGAACCATGTGGTCAAATGAGAGATGAAAAGTTGCACGCCGTCGTGGCCCGAAGCACATTTCCAAGTCACACCAGGTTCGGAACACTTTTGGAAGTTGAGATGTCGAAAAAGAGCACGCCGTTTTGGCGCGAAGCACATTTCCAAGTCAAAATGTGAAAAACACAACATTCTCGGACCGCTTTTGGAAGTTGAGATGTCGAGAAGGTGCACGCTGTTGTGGCGCGAAGCACATGTCCAAGTCAAAATGTTAAAAACGTACTATGCTCAGATCGCTTTTAGAAGTTGAGACGTCGAGAAAGTGCACGCTGTTGTGGCGCGAAGCACGTGTCCAAGTCAAAATGTTAAAAACACAGCAGGTTCGGACCATTTTTGGGCGTTCAGATGTCGTTTCGCGTGGCAGGCGCAAGGGATTGTGCACCGTGTCAAAAGTGAGCAAAAAAAATGTTCTATAGCATTTCCAAAAACGATGGCAGGCATGGGACATTTGAAGAGGATCGGCAAAGATGCATGTCGTGTGGCAGGCGCAGTACAAGAGACATGTTCATCAGAGATGTTAGGGGGTCAGGGCGCTGATTTCCTGAGAGGTGTTGCCTTTTGGAGCATGAGATCATCAAGTTTGCTAAGATGATTTTGCGTGACAGGTGCAGCACTTCGTACGACCTGGCCTCACTTTTTCGTGGCAGGCGCAGTACTTTAGACAGGGGGGGGTGGGTTAGGCTCTTGTGAAGGTGCAGCACTTCGTACTGTATGACCTGGCATCACTTTTTCGAGAGACATGGGCTGGACAGCTCTGCATTCAACTTTCCATTATTGAAGGATTCGTTTTTGATGTTGCCAACTTCAAAAATTGAGGAAGTCTCGCAGAAGTGCTTCGTTTTTGATGTCGCCAACTTCAAAAATTGAAGAAGTCTCGCAGAATTGCGTCCTTTTTGACGTTATCAAGTTCAAAAGTTGAAGAGTCTCGCAGAATTGCTTCGCTTTCAAGCTTGCAGATTGCAGATAGACAGATAGACAGACAGGTAGATAGACAACAACAACTACAACTACAACTACCACTAACACTACCACTACACTACACTACTATAACAACTACAAATACAAATAAACCACACTACCTTACACTAATTACACTACACTACACTACACTAATTGCATCTAATTACACTACACCACACTAATTACACTACCACTACAACAACAACTACCACAGCTACACCAACAATATCAACTACACCACATTAGACTACACTGCACTAACTACAGTGCAGTACGCTACAACTACACATGCAAATGCAACTACAACTATACTGCATTACACAACACTACACTACACTACACTACACTACAGTACACTACACTACACTACAGTACGCTACATTACGCTACAGCTACAACTACAAGCGCAGCTGCAACTACAATTGTAACTACCACTACATTGCACTACACGACACTACACTAAGTACACTACACCATACTACAACTACGCTACCTTACGCTACTACACTACACTAGACTACACTACACCATACCACACTACAGTACACAACACTACAGTACACTACAATACAATACACTAATTACACCACACCACACCTACAACTACAACTGCAACTGCAGCTACACTCACTTATTACACATTACAACTACAACTCCACTACTCCACCCTACAACTACAACTGCACTACACCACACTACATCTAGCAGTTGTGGGTGAGGTGACCACTGCAACCATTGCAACCACTCTAAAAAACACAACTCCAAGCACCTTTCGGTCCATCAATGGATTCGCTCTGCCATCCGTGATTCACAACAACCAACCTCTCCTATAGGTTTCATATTTTTGAAACTTCCGCCACCGCCTTGTGCGGTACTACTGGTAAACATGGTTTTGACCCACAGCCATGTGTTGTTGATGGATCCCACAAGTTGTTTGTTTGCCATTTCTATGCTTGAAAAGCAAAGAAATAGGTGTGAAACCACAAACCAAATCATTATACCCATTACATACCCATTGTTTGCCGTTATATAGCCACTAAAATACCCATTGTATGCCTATTATATGCCCATGTTAGATGGCTATAGTCTATGAGTCTATAATGTGTTCAAGTAAAACAATAATGAACCATCCCCCAAATCACCATAAATAGGTGGTATAAACCAGTCCCAAATGGGTAGTTTATTAGTGTTTTAACCACAGTAGTTCAAACCAACAATAACTTCTGAAGTTTGCAGCTTTTGCCCACTGAGCCGCCAGACCACGCCACTGGGAATGTGGTCCAGAGCGCCCCTCAGCAGACCAGTCATTGACAATTATAGGAAAACCACGGGCTAGATGATTGGGGAGAAAAAGAAATCTTTGGTAAATCCAGCCAATTTCCTACAGGAATAACCACGGGTTATTCCCAACTCAGTAGTCAAGTCATATCTCATGTGCGATGTGTTCATCCAACCACAAATCATCCCCTTGTGGCTGTACCCTTTTGACCGAGTCTGGCATCACGCTCCGTTGCTCGTGTCATC